CATTAAATCGGGATGTGTAAAATCGGGGTTTCACTGTATCTCATTGTACTGTTTCTCAGTGTTGAACCTAGTTCTAGAATATGCTACTTGATGATACAGCCCATGTATCTCTCCATTGTTCTCGCCAGTACAAATTCTTCATCTCCATTTCTTCTAGTGTAAGATGGGAGAACTTTTACTTCCCCAATCCCAAGCTGCTAAGGTAGTCAATATGTAGTGTTCTTCATCAGGCCACGCAGTTCCACTGGGATGAAATCAAGTGGATACACCCCTCATTTGGGAAGTAGGGCTGGGGAGGTACTTTATAGCATAGTACTGGATACCCGAATACATTATGAGCCAAGCTATTCCTGATGGTTTGGTCTAGCTGGATAGATCAGTCTTGGGTTTGACTCAGGACACATATCTGGAATGCTTTTTGCATCTGATTATTTTGGTGAGTATTTCAGGTAAATATTTCACCTCTACAGAATTATCTGACTTGTAGCCCTAGCCACACTATGCACTCATGCTCAGCTGTTTGCCTGTGAAATAATGGCCAGTTGAACAATCTTACTTTCTGCCCACCTTAGTGGCTTTAGCACCATATAAAATATTCTGGTGACAAATTCTTTTCCTCCACCTCCTTTCCTAGCAATTAATACTTCTGATGTAAATCTATTTCAGATTATTACCTTTCTGCACCATCTCCCACCCTTCCTCCCCACTTCCAGTGCATTTAATTTGCTTCATCAGGAATGAGCCTATGAACAAATGTCAGTAGTGCTCGTGTGTGGAGGGATAGTTTTTCAGATAAAGAAAATTTTAACATTTGCCTGTTCTACTCTCTGAACAAAAATTACTTACTATAAAATAGTCCTAATATTGTACTAAATTTTAATAACTATTAGCCCAAGAATTTCATTAAAATGGGCTGGAAAACTAAATACATCGGGTAAATGTTTTAATGGACTATATCTAAGTTCTGCCATCCTCGACTCATAGCTTATAACTTAAGTGGTGGATACGAACTATGATGTCACTTTTTAAAATATTGAAGCAATTTTTCTACTTTAAAATAAGAGTAAGTTATTTTTCTTACTTTACAGGCAGAAAGGAGGCAAAAG